CCATTCAATATGGACAAACGGTCAGCTCCTGGACGAGTTCCCCCGGCCCTTTGTAAATTATTCATATGGTTACGCCTGCTTTCTGCTTTGCCCTTTACGTACGTTGGTTCTGATATCTTAACTCTGACACGATGCGGTTGTGCACTGCTCTCATCAAGCCATGTTTTATGTATCATTTCTCCCTCTAAAGGCCACCGCTATATTCTTGTACTTTTCTTGCTGTACATTAGACTGGAGATTGCACCTAGTGTCATACTATACTAGCATGAAACAATCCGACTCTTCTCTCCTTTCTCGCTTTTTGTGCTCTCTTTCATTTGGTGGCAAGTCGCGCTTGCTTTGTCCGCGCTTTTCAACCTCCGCCAATCTCCGTTACTATCGCGCGAGATGGCTACTACTACCTCTATGGCCAATTTGGCAACACTTGAGGAGATTAATGACGAATATCTCGAAAACGCGCGCGCTAGTGCTACGAGAGCACTTCAAGCCCCGCTCAGCTTATTGACGACCAAGGACGAATTTCGAGCTGAAGCCGGCCAGATTGCGGCTATCGTCGAGAATGCTAACCCTGAAGATCCAAGAATGCTTGCAGTCGAGGTTGAAGCTCACAAGGTTTGACTAAATCCATTTGTCTATTGCCTCCTTAACGGAAGACTAATGATTTGGCACCCCCCGCAGCAATATGTGGCGAAATTAAAATTCAAATATCAAGAAAAGTCTGCCAAGCTCAAATTGTCCAATATTCTATGTCAGGAAGAGCCTCCGGACTTCTCACCCGAGGTAATGGACGCCATCAAGGCTGAAGCTGCAGACGCAAAAGCTGAGTTGAAGCTGAAGAAAGAAATGCTGGCGGATGCATATGATAGAATGAGGATTCTTATTCCTGAATGGCACAAACGTTCGTCATTCATTCAAATGATGGGACATGCGCTCACTACCCTTTTCTCTCTCCTGTAGAGTATTCGGATCTTGTGGCCAAAGCGGAACGAACAGAAAGGTTGACACGCGAGATTCAGGCTGCGAAGATGGAATTGGCGCAGATTCGAGCCCGGCATCCTGAACCGCGGTTGACCCTGGATCAAGCATCTCAATACTGCGATGAGCAGATGGAACAGTTCATTGCATTGTCCGAGAAACGAGATGAGCTGCTGGCTCAGGCTAAAAATGCAAAGGAGAGGGCTGAACGGGAAGAGGCAAAGACCAGGATGCTTAGGGAGGATGTGATGAAGAAGGAAAGGGAAGCGGATAGGATAAAGGAGAAAGTACAGTCAGCAGGAGAAAAATCTGGTCTCCCGGATTGGTGCGCAGATCACCCCAAGCTCCCCTCTTGTGTTTTTTTTTGGCGATCCTGACTATTGTTTGACAGGCTTGCAAGTTATTCGGAATTTCTCGGAAGTTATACTTGGGTTTCCTCTGTGCACCAAGAAACCGACAATGAACTCCGTCTACGGCTCAACCCTCCGGATCTCCAACAGCCTGTCACACTTTCTGTTGTCTTTGATCCGGCTAAGTGCACTCTTGCAGGCGCTCAGGTAGGCAGAGCTCCCCATCCTCTATCTTCGATGACGACATTCTAACCGATCTTCCACCTTATCTCCCACAGCTGATCGACTCACCCATAGAGTTGGACGAAGAGCCTATCGCGGTCTGCGTCACTAAAAACGACTTTGTTCAGCTTGTACAATTGGTCTGTCAAAGACTGCAACTTGCGGCCAGGATCAGCCAATCCAGTGGCGGATAAATGGGACGAGCCGAGAAACAGGCCAGGTGCTGCTTTCCAACCATTTTTCCGACTTTGGTAGTGTACCAATGTCTTATCATTTGCCCATCTATGACTGTGCCCATGTAATTACAGACTCAACTATGTTGCCACCTCCGACCCTGCAATGAATGCCGTAAGGATGTTCGCATGAGTCAATTGGACAGCTGGGTAAAATTCCGACCACTGAGGGGGCGAGATGTCGCTCGAATCCCGCTTGGTCTATCTAAGGTTTACACGTGTCTCCCAGCCCAAACGAAGTCAATTGCCCGAGGGGTCCTTTTACCACGGCTCAGTGTTTGGCTCGTCCCCCACTTCCTCTTATCTTTTACCAACGGGCCAGATTCTATCTCATCAGTCGTAAATTTCATTCTATTCAAGAGATTTTTCGAAAGCATTAGTAGGTTGGCAAAATGTACTCCTGCTTATCACTTGCTGATCGTTCTCGTCACGGTGGGATATGATAGGCTTTCATGGCAGCAAAAGTCGATTGTGCTTCTCCGCAAAACTGCTGTGTTCATTCCTTGTTCACTAAACCGGAGACTTTAGGCCCCTCAACCGCAGCAAATCTCCTTACAGTTTCTCTCCATGCCGAAGATATGCAAACACTGATAGGGGAGCATATGAGTAAGCTCATTCAGATGGTACATGAAAATCGGGCTGACAATTTATTCGGAATCTGCAGATGAAGAAGGTATTTTATCTGATCACAGGGTTTAGAGAGGAATGTTCAACGAAATTTTATGTGCAGAAGTGAGCCGAAAGATGGATGCCGTTTCAAGCCGCTTGAAGATCGCCGAGTTCATTTCCAAGACACTGCAGCAACATTTGGAAAGCCTCAAATCAACCCTCGAACAAGTCAGGCAAGCGGGCTCTTCGTCCGACTCTGGCAACTCCCGCCCCAGGACCCCCACAGCCACGACTGACATTCAGCCTGTAGCTGTAACCCCCCCTGTAACGAAATTTGTGGCCCCAGCACCCCCTCCTTTGATGCGTCGCCACACTACTACATCTGTACCGACGATAAAAGATACCCCGGGAGTTGGGTGGGAAGAGCGAGCTGCGGCGTTCATGCTGAAGCGACAGTCTCAACGATCAGCGATGGAGCAGCAACAACAGCAACAGGCTGTATTGCTTCAACGCCAGCAGAAGCAGCAATCGTCTATTAGCGAGGCACCAGCGGTGAGTGGGGCAAAGCGTCCTCCCCATAGCCCTCGAAGCACTCGTTCACCGGAGCTTCGGCCCGCGTCCCAACGCTCTTCATTTGATGGTAGCTCGTGGGGAGATCAAGATGTGCTTTGGGACCTTGAACGGCGACGACAAAATCCGAGGCGAA